TCCGTGTCATTTCCCTCCTCTGCTTTTCCCCTAACCCTATCTTTCCCTTCAATCTTCCATTCTGCTCGCCTATCAAACCTCCCTCCTCACCATCTCCAACCCCTCCTGCCCGTTCCCCCATCCCCAATTGCTCCTTCTCACTGCTGCTTCTCCTCCTCGTCCTCTTCGTCCTCGTTCTCCCCTGTCCTTGTCCTTGTCCTTGTCCTCGTCCTCGTCCTCGTCCTCGTCCTCGTCCTCCTTCTCCTCCTATTCACCTTCTTGGGCGAAAGCTTCACGATGTCTTTCACGCAGCCCTCAGACCTGAGAGATGTCAAGAGGGAGAAAGTAAGGAGCAGGAGAAAAGAGGACGAGGAGGAGGACGAGGAGGAGGAGGAGATGGAGGAGAAGGATGATGACGAGTTACTGGGACTTACATTCCAGCACGAGGAGGGTCGGAGATAACAACATCAGGTGGAGGCAGGTGACTTCGAGACTCAGTCAAGAGGAAAACACCACCAACACCTCCTCCTTCTCCTCCTCCTCCTCCTCCTCCTCCTTTCTCACGAATATTTTCTGAGGATCGAGTTGAGATTGCCGCAGAAGAAATTCGCGTTGGAGATGTTGTTCCTGCGCGCCTGGCAATCGAGTTAGATGTGCTCCTGCCCCCTGCCCCCAGCCCCCTGCCTCCTGCCTCCTGCCTCCTGCCTCCTGCCTCCTGCCTCCTGCCTCCTGCCTCCTGCCTCCCTCCTCCCCTGCCCTTCTCCTGCCTCCTCCTCTCACGTTTTTGTTCGCGTCCTCCACAGCTGCTTGTACGATCTCGAACCCATAGACATTCACCAGCTGATTCTTCGCGACGCTGAGGAAGAAGTCAGAGATATGATCAGATTGTGCAATGACAGCGACGAGACAACCAGCAGAGAAACAAGAGCGAAGACATAAATGAAGGGAGGAAGAGGGGGGAAAGAAGGAAAGACATAGAGGACCAGGACCAGGACCAGGACCAGGACCAGGACCAGGAGAGAACCAGGACCAGGACCAGGACCAGGACCAGGACCAGGAAGAGAGCGGATAGTCAGGAGGAGGAGGAGGATGATTGAGGCAAGATACCTGAGCCCAATGGATCCGGTGCCGCAGTAGAGGTCGTAAATGACTTTCACCCCTTCTCCCTCGCAAAGTTTCTCAACGATTTCATACAACACCTAATCATTCAACTCAACGCACCCTCGTCCTCCCCTAAGACTCCATACCCCCTCCGCTCGCCCCTTCTGCCTTCCACTACTCTTCCTCCACCTCATTCCACCCTGCCCCTGCACCTCATCTCCCTCTGCCCCTGCCCCTGGCCCTGGCCCTGGCCCTGGCCCTGGCCCTGCCCCTGCCCCTGCTCTTGGTCGGCTTCTTCCTTCTTCACCTCTGCCTGTCTTGTGTTGGTCTGGAAGAAGGACGAGGAGGAGACTTGCAGGTCGAGTCCTCGCACGCGCATGTTGACGGTCTTGCTCCCGATCAGCCTGCCATATATTCACAAGTGAACATTATGTAATAAGGAGAAGCCACAGCAGCAGCAGCACCACCACCACCACCACCACCACCACCACCACCACCACCACCACCACCACAACCACCAGAGGAAGGGAAGGAGAACAGTAGCAACAATCGAGGGTGGTAGCAGCAACTTACTCTTTGACTGATTCCAAGTTCTCGGGAGATGGGACTTCATGCTTTTTGTCGCATACGCTATTTGTGAAACCACCGAAACTCTCTTGACAAAACAGTCAGGGGCCGTGAGGACTTGAGAAGATGCAAAGAAGTAGTTATAGGAGAAGATGGCAAAGACTAATCGTGAAAGAGATGATATGTAGCAATAGAGGAAGATGGCAATGAGCAATGGAGAATTGTTCGCACAACAAAGATGAGATGAAAGAGTTTTCTGAGAACAACAGCTCCCAAGAGTGTAAAGGCTCCAAGGAGTGGAAGAATTGATCGGGAAGGACAAGGACAAAGAGATGAAGAGGAAATCTGAACTCAATCGCTCACCACCAAATATTTCCTGCAATGATGCTGCCAGCTCCTTAAAAGCTTGCGGGAGAGACAATGACGTTATCATGTTCACAAACACAAGCTCCCTTCCATCATCCTTAGCGCTTGTTCCGCTCCTGCATAACAATCAAACGATTAGTTCATGGTTCCTGCGTCCTGAATGCTGCGATCATGAAACCTGATGGTAAATTCCCGGAGAAAACCTTGCTTTGTCTCTGCATTCCATCCTTGAAACTCTGACTGCAGGATCCAATTTCGTGTTGCCGTGTAGACGTCAAAGGCGAGTTGGGACGGCAGCAAACATTTCTCCACATCCACAACCTACAAGACAGCTCTTGTCATGTGCTGTCCAACCTCTCATCCTCTCATCGTACCTTTGTCATCGACCCTGCAGCATGCAGTCCTATCCTCACTTGGCTCTGGCCTGAACTCCTCTCCACCTCCACGTGCGCAATGGAGAAATCCATTCTGTTTCTGTAATGTTCTGCACCAACACATCAGAACTGATCAAGTCATTTTGCTTCACCTGACATGCTCACATCAGTTACAAACATACATGACTGACTTGCCAAGACCTGTTTGCTCTGCCGCGACGATCTCCCGGATTTCCATCTCGGGGAAGGTTTTCTGGTGAAAGCTGAAGAGCTTCTTGATATATGTTGACTTCTCCTCTACCTGTCACCCTCTCAGTTCCTTTCCAACAGCTTGCAAGCTCAACCTCTCTCGTATACTTCACCCCGAGCAATTTGCATCCCCCGCACTCCCCACCAGCGTTCATTGCGTATCTGACCAGTTCCCCATCACACCACACAACAGCAGCAGCAGTCAACAACCTGCACCGAACTTCTTCCGCATGAGGAGAGGCTTGAAGGATCTTAACCACTCTCGCTGCACCTCTCCTTCACCATCACAACCCATTCAGCCTCCCATCACCACTCATGAAGTCTTTCTTCACAGCTGTGATCTCCGCCAACACCTGCAATCCAAGTCACTCATACCTCGTCCTGCATCAAGGACATCCTCATCACCACTGATCCAGGTATCCCTGAGGACACGAATACAACTTTCCCCTCCGCTCTCGCCAGCCCGCTGCCTGCTTCCTGCCTGCATGCCCAACAAAATCAGATTTGCCACGAGCGGCCGCATCGTGTGCCCATACCCGCCACCGATGACAAGGCTTTCAACGTGGAGCTCGAGTCGCTGCCCGACCATGAACGACGACCTGCCCTCCTCCTCTCCTGTTGCAAGCATCTTCAAATCCCACCAGAAGACCCAATGGGGCAGACACAACTCCTACCTTCCTTGCTTCCTTTGTTCTGACCGGACACTCTTCTAGCGCAGCAGACAGTAGGAGAGGGTCGACGAAGGCTGAAGGGAGGACGCTGCTTGTGAAGGGATAGGAGGAGGAGCTCCTGCATGCTGCTGCTCCTCCTCCCCATCCACAAGGAGGGTTCCATCAAGGTAAGAAAGCTGCACAGCGCTACTGCCATAGCGAGTAAAATCCGGATCACAGTCCGGCGGGCCGGGGCCACTGGCCGGGCCCGGCCGGGGCTCAGTGACGGTGGGCCGGCCTGTGATCGTCGGAGGCCCCGGCACTCAACTTGTCAACCCCAGCAGCAGAGTACTAATTTTTAACTTAACTTTTGAGTAAAGAATCATTTTAGAGTGACAAGACTATTACATGACTCTTCATCGGGACCCCACAGCCGGGGGAGGAGGTGGGGTAGGCTATGACCCGTCAGTTTTACAACTGTGGTACAGCCGTCCACCAAGGAAGGGGTAGGGGTACGACCCCTACCCCCGGTAAACCGAATGACCAGCCGTAGGCTCGACTGGAGTGAATGAGGGACAGCCAGGGGAGGGGGTAGGGGTATGACCCCTACCTTGAAAGGTGACAAGGCCTGCATGCACGCGTCGAGCAGCGGGGCGGCCATGGGATCCCGCAGCTACCTCCTCCCCCTCCTCCTCCTCCTCCTCTCAGCCTTGATGACTGTCGAATCAGCCTCATGGTGTGACGAGCTCACGAGCATTTACAACGATTGCACCGCTGTGCAATCAAATGTGATAAATGACAACGGTCAGCTGCCCGATCAAGTTGAAAGTGCGTGCAATGCTACGGCGGAATGCATCACACAGCTAGAGGCAAAGTTAAGTTCAATTCAGGATAATTCTTGCGGTCAAACAATTGCAAAATCGAAGCTGTTGAAATTGAAACTTCCAGTGTTATGTACTAAGGATGGGAACAAATACTGTGCCAGTGTCAATTGGATTTCAAGGTCGGACAGGATGACAAATCAGGTGATCTGCATGTGCTATCCGTATGAAGGGTGATGTGCATGTGCTATCCGTATGAAGGGTGATGTGCATGTGCTATCCGTATGAAGGGTGATGTGCATGTGCTATCCGTATGAAGGGTGATGTGCATGTGCTATCCGTATGAAGGGTGATGTGCATGTGCTATCCGTATGAAGGGTGATGTGCATGTGCTATCCGTATGAAGGGTGATGTGCATGTGCTATCCGTATGAAGGGTGATGTGCATGTGCTATCCGTATGGAGGTTATCAAGGTCTGAATCTCATTCCGTGTTAGGAGTTCTGTTCCTCAACTTGCTACGGGCAATTCAAGACGGCGTACAATCTGATGTTTGCCTCGCTCAATTTCTGGCCTGTTTTTTCGGGCAGTGAATCTCTTTGGGACCCAGACCTGCTGTGCGTTAGGAACTCTCAAGGAGGTTACTGTAAGGACATGTCAGTGGTGACACAGCCTAGCTCCAGTGCACCTGCAGCTTCATCGGCGCCTCCACCACCGCCCCCACCACAAATATGCAGCTATGAATGCATGCTACTGGTAACATTGAGAATGATGCTGAATGACACTGATAAGAATAACGAATATCGACATAACATCAGGATTTACAAAACGTAATAGAAGTTAACTTCAGATCATTGAGCGCTCTATATCCAGCACTGTGCACTACAAGTAATGACATTTGGTATCCTTGTTACGATAACCTAGATCACTTTCAGGCGGCACCGAAAAATGCTACGACCGATTTTGGCCCCTTGCGCTCAGCTCCTCTTCTATTCCTTGCACTCCAGGCATGCTCGAGTGTTCAAGCGAGTGCAAAGTATGCAAGACTCGCTTCTTCGATTATCTCATGTCCTCACAATCCCCTTCGTTTCACAGGACTGGATGACGTCGACCTCGCAAGGCCTTGGATGCTGTTCCTCTGGAATTTCGAACGCCAAAGTCTCACAGTCTTCAACTGCGCTCATATCAGTCCTAAAAAGCTTCTCATTAACAGCAAGCAATTGTGGTGTAAACCTCGCAACCCCATGTGAGTCTCCAAGAAAGTCTCTTGCAGTTTCTTCTACTTACGTCTGCTGGCTCATGGCAGGTACACAGGAGCCTTCGATCGACGTCTTAGTCTACATCCCAAACCTCGCTTACGGCTGGTACTTGAGCAACTCCTTTACAGCCGATCAAAGCGTGAGTCAGATATTGAGATGAAACCCAAAGCCTTGATGTCACTGACTTCAAACCGCAGCTGTTGCAGGAAATCAACTATGCTTTCGGTTATAATTTGGGACAGGTAGATGAGCAATCTGTGTGCGGTCACCTTCCTTGAGCGTGATCATGTGCTATTACGCCAACTTCAGGTCGTGAAGTACAACTATGGAAGCGATCAGTCAGGGCTGACTTTAGATTTGGGCTTCAAGCCGTTCGGGTCACAGCAGGTCTGTGGACCGTCATTGACCCTCGCACGTGCTCGTATAATGCAAGATGAGCAGGCAGATATCGCGATAGGTAACATCCAGACACTTCGATCCAAAGTAAGCCCGAATCCCGAAGCCCATCATGCATGGTGACGTGGGTGATTTTACAGAACTACACGTTGTCGACGACGTCTGCATTCCTTCCTACCGTGGCCAAGATCGACCCTTCGAAACCCATCTCTTTCACGGTAAAAGCCATCAATTATCCGACATCATCTGGAGCAGCCGCTGGACCTCAGACTTACTCGCTTGTGTCGTTTCTTCTCATCAACATCGCGGTGAAGTCATGGCACTGAAAGGACCTGGTTTGATCTCTGATGAACAACATCTTGAACAGGTGGTGGGGAGCTGGGGCTTTTTTGCTTCATGATGACTCAGTGATCTAGCCAAGAGCTGTAGATAGTCACCCCTAGTGAATGGACTCGATTGTGAGTAAAATCAAGATGGGCAGTACCTGCCTCGGATGTTCGGCAGTGGGCCGAGCCGCCGCAGTCATTCAGCATAGTCAGTGTCACAGTGCCTCTTACAGAGCTCGGTGGCCGCCGGGGGGGCGGCCCTGTGTGGCGGCCCAGGCCTTGGCAAGCCTTGAAGCGCAGTCTTTCACTCAAAAATCCTTGAAGGTAAAAATCAGTACGCGGACTTTACTCAATGGACAGTCAGGAGTTAACTTTGAGTAAAGGAGAGTGAGTAGGCTTGACCCTGACAGGTTAAGTAACTTCGGCGACATCGCTGGCATGGCGCGGGGGAATGATCCTGCTCGCTGTTAAGTGAAGGTATCAGTTAAGTTTGGGGGACAGCAGTTGGCAGGATTCATGATTGTGTCAGGGTCAAGCCTCCTCGACTCTCCTGATTGTCCTCGTACTGATTTTTAACTTAACTTGGAGTAAACGGCGCGCGGTCACTGACTCCCGGAGGTGCTCACTGCGGCGGCTCGTACCGGTGCTGGCAGTGGCCGGATATAAGTGTGTGAAACGTTGGGGTTGGTTTCCGGACTCGTTCAATCCTGAACTTTCGAGTTGGACGGGCATTGGGTAGGCCGCGCCATGGCATGCAGCGCAGTAGATCCTGTTTGATTGGATGATAAGACTGGTATCCCTCGCGTACAGCTGACTCCAGGTAACGTACCGTCTTGCCCCGCTGACCGGCGAGGGCCAGGCTTGAGGTACAAAAAAGTCACCGCCGTTCGGATACTCGGGGCCCTATCATGCCGGCCGAGTCGGACCCTCCAGCATTTGAGTGTGACCACCGGTCCTTGTACCCTGAAACTCGGGGGTCAGCCTTCAAAAGGCTCGTGACGACCAGCCGCTGGCCTCACTCGACTCACTTTCGGACTGAGGGGTAAAACTGTTCACTTTGCCTGGCACTTGCGTCCTCTGAAGCACCCCCACCCGCTTCGTAGCAGCTCTAACGAGGGGTAGTCGTACCTATGAATTGCGTCTGCTGACCCGTTGTCCGCCGGTTCGACGCCCCACCCCCATGAGCGACTACGACTCACCACCCCTACCCCGTCGTTTCGCTGGTAGTACCTTGTAAATGATACCAAAACTTGACTACCCTACCCCTACAGCTCCTTCACTTTACTCCAGTAGGTGTTAAAACAATGGCCCAGGCAGCCCCCAATCTCTACCACCCCTCCTTCGGTGTGTTAAAGTACCCCCAATACCCTACCGCCCGCAGATCCATTTTGCTCTCAGTACCCCTGCGTCTGATATTTCAGTACCCCGTACGTTGGGTGGGTTTACTCCTACCTGTCCCCGCCTCCCTGCCCGACTCCCAGTCGATATTTGCCAGCGCTTCTGCCCTCCTCCTGCACCTCCTCCTCCTCTCAAGGCATGCCTCGCTCAACATTCTTGACGGCTACCTCCATCCCCGCCAACCCCACTGGAGATTACCCGCAGCACTACTGCGACTGGTTCTTCCCGCACGAGACCATCCGCCGCGAGGCGTTGCGTGCCGAGCATGCCCTGAGGTACATGGAGAACATCGTCGAGTATCCGTGGAAGGCAGTGAACTTCCGGACATGGATCAGAGATTTCTACTTCCCCGCCATTCATGCCCATCACGACGTGGAGGAGGACATCATCGGTCCTCACTACCGGGCGCTGCTGGAGAAGGAAGGAGAGAACACCATCATCCTGCAGGTCTGGGGCAGCAAGGAGCATGATCACAAGGGGTTGCTCGACCTCATGGACAAAGTTCAGCGTCAGGCGGAGGCTCTCTGCAACGAGGCTCAGGGGCTGACGGGTGTCAACACCAGCCAGCACAAGATCGAAGCGGTGATGGCGCAGCTCCAAGCGCTCAGAAGTGTCTTTGCGGCGTTCAAGACTTACATGTTCACCCACCTAGAGGAGGAAGAGCAGGTCTGGCCGGGCATCTTCCAGCGCTTCGGCAAGGCAGAGGTGAAGAAAGCGGTCGCAAAGATCATCAAGCAGGACATGTCTAAGGCAGGCCCGGAGGGGTTGGCAGCGAAATCCTTTGCCGGGGCGTTCCTTGACAATGCGGGAAGCAGCAAGTCTTTCCCTCCTTCGAAGCGCCCTGCTGAGGTTCCTGGCGCTCTCAAGCTCGACCCCTGGTGCAGCGAGGCTGTGATCGACAGGTTTCTGTCGGAGGTCCCTTGGATCCCAAGGAAGCTTATCTTTCCTGGCTTCCACAAGAGGTATGTCCTGCATTGGAAGGTGATGATCGATACGGTCTGCTCCGACAAGGATGTTCTCCGCCTGCGGTCGGACGGCTCGCTGCCTGTGAAGGCCAGCGGATGCTTCTGCATCTCTGCTTGACTGGCCGTGACGTCAGCCAGTATGTTGCTGGCTGATTGGGAGCAGGGATGGATAGACAAGGATCTGCCCCTTCTAACTGTTTAAAGACGATGTTCTCTTGCTTGCTCTATGAAGATCGTCTAGGTTTGAACCACACGGTTCATGTACTGTAGCTTGTCGTTTGTTTACTTTTGTCTTCTACATTTTAAAATTTGCCTGCAATCAAATAAAGAGACTTGATTGATGACTTCGCGCCTTGCCTATTTCTTCCTTTCGTACATATCACCGTCATTGGCATATGTTTTGGAAGTTGTTGGATAGGACTTGAACTGGCCGTATCATGTGCAGCTGAGCCTCAATCAACTGATTGAACTCCCATCCGATCAGATCAGTCTGAGGATGAGGGTTGGTTCTGCTGGGGACTCGGCCGATTATGAGGGTGATGATGGGCTGTACGGTATGAGGGGCAAGCGTTCGGTAGCTTGGTGGTGGAGATGAGGGGGATGATACGACACGTGATTGTGGGGCACAATGCAGGGATGCGTAGCAAGGGGACGAGAGGGGGCGAGGCAGGAGGAGCAGGCGGGGGGGGTGAGAGGGGGAGGAGGGAGAGGAGAGGAGGAGAGGAGGAGAGGAGGAGGAGAGGAGGAGAGGAGGGACAGAGGGGAGTGTGGGGTGCGAGGGTTTGTCAAAGTGGTCTGAATGTTGTTACCCCCAGGGCGATGCAGGTTTCGATGAGTAGGAGCTGGAGGGTCCAGCCACTCATATCAGGGTTGAAGCAAGTGAGTGGGTCGAGCCTGCGCAAGCTAGTTGCAGGACAAAGTTCGCGCGCGCTCTCGCTTCATTCTTCATGTACATACAGCAAGACAAGTCGTTTCGGCTCGTTGCAGGCGATTCACCGCACCGCGAGCCTTCAAGCCGTGGCGAAGAGGGGGCTTCAATCCGCAAGGAGGGTAGCAGACGAAATGGAGGAGGAGGAGGATCGGACGGATCCCAAGGTCGCGCAAGGTTGCAACATGGTTCGACATGTTATCGGGTGAGTGACTGTGCGTTGCAGACATTTCCTCGGACCCCAACACAGACTTGGAGGAGGTTCCCCTCTCGAAGAAAGTGAAGGCAAAGCTGAAGGAGTGCGGGATCACCTCCTTGTTCCCCGTGCAGGTGAAGACCTTCCAGACACTGATGGATGGCAAGGACGTCGTGGTGCGATCGAGAACAGGGTCAGGCAAGACCATCGCGTTTGCTCTCCCCGTCATCGAGAAGATCCTTGCGAATAAGACTCGCAAGCACGGAAGGCTGCCGTCCTGCCTCGTCATTGCGCCAACCCGAGAGCTCGCCATCCAGATCGACCGCGAGTTCACCAGGATCCAGCCCGAGGTGGCTTCAACGTGTGTGTACGGAGGGGTCTCCATCGGCATGCAAGTGAGCGCGCTGCGCAAGGGCGTCGATGTGGTGGTGGGAACGCCAGGAAGGCTGATCGATCACCTGGTGAACGGAACGCTGGATGTCAGCGCTGTGGAAACTTTCATCTTGGACGAGGCCGATGAGATGTTGAAGATGGGTTTCCAGGATGATGTGGAGAGGATCATAGAGTACCTTCCTCCATCAAAGCAGACAAACCTCTGGTCTGCCACGATGCCCACCTGGGTGAAAGATCTCGCGCAGAAGTACTGCAAGGACGTCGTCTTCTTCGACATGGTGGGCAATGACAGCACCAGGACTTCCATCACCATCGAGCACATCGCGATTGCCTGCGGCTATGACAGCCATGCAAACGCGATCTCAAGGGTCGTCAAGAAGTACGGAAAGGGAGGGAGAGTCCTGGTCTTCTGCAGGACGAAGCTGGAGGTCTTCCCCCCCCCCCCCCCGCCCCACACCTGCTGGGCGTGACTTTGGTCTTCTAGGTTGATCGCCTTGCCAATCATCCCAGCCTCAAGACAACGGCTCGAGTCATCCACGGTGACGTCAGCCAGCTTCAACGCGAGAGAACCTTGCAGGGTGAGTTAACACTCCTCGTCCTCAACTGTTTTGTCCTCATCATCGTGTTGTCGTCTTTGCGTCCTTTTCACAACCCGATGCTCAGATTTTCGGTCCGGCAAGTTTTTGATTCTCGTGGCTACCGATGTTGCTGCCCGTGGCATTGATGTCCCCGAAGTCGAGCTTGTCATTCAGACTTGCGTAAGTACACACTATCCCCTTCTCAGGACTTGATACCCTGTGCTTCCAGGTTCCGGAAGACTCCAACACCTTCGTGCATCGGTCAGTCTCTAGCCCGACTCTTCCCTTGTCTTGACTTGGTACACCAGTTCCGGTCGTACAGGACGTGCTGGCAGGAAGGGAGTCAGCGTTGTCTTCTACTCCGGCGGCGAGGAGAGAGACTTGCTGGAGATCGAGGAAGAACTTGGGATTCAGTTTCACCTCCCGGTAGGTACGATGCCCTCGTCCTCCCCTGCTCACTGCACGCTCAGGGCTGCCCAAAGAGTGTTTCCATCCCGGATGCGGAGCTGAGCAACGTAATCAGCTCGCTTCAGAGTGTGCCGGAGGTCGATTGCGCTCCTTCTCCTTGCAGCCTGACTGACGCCTGCTCTACAGAACGTCGTTCAGAAGTTTCTTCCGCTCTCTCTGGTTGCCGCTGATAAGTTGGGAGACAAGAACATGGCCGAGAATCGCACGGTCGCAGCTGCCTTGGCCTTGCTCGCTGGCTTCCAAGGCGGGGATCACGCTGCGATCTCCCTCCTCTCAGGAAGGATCGGCATGGTCACCCTTCAGGTGCTGGCTGGACAAGGAGGCGAGTCCTTGCCAACTGATCTGAACCCCCCAGGTCAACATGGACAGAAAGACCTCCAGTCGGTTCCGGGGAGTCCGCGGCTTCATCGATATGCTGAAAGCCGCGTTCCCCGAAATCCAGTGGACCGTCGGGAAGATCGTCAAGGTGAAGGACAGTGAGTAGCTGCCTCGGATGCTGCTGGCCTGTTGACTTTCTTTCCAGCGTATTTCTTCGATATCAGTGAGGAGGAGATTATGAAAGTTCTCGGTGAAGAAGAGTACTCCTCTGAAGAGGTCCCTCTCGACCCTCCCTCCCAGTCCTTGAGGTCTTGCCGCAGGGCTCGTCCACTACTCACGCCGATGACCTGGCTGGTCGATCGTTCAAGAGTCCTGAGTTTCCCGACGTTCAGGTAAACCGCTCTTGGAGTGCTTTGAGGGTGGGTTGACGATCTGGACGTTTCAGTTCATGATCCCTGAGAGCTTACCTTCTGTCGGCGACATCGTTGAATCCATGGCGATGTCATCGGAGAGACGTAAGAAGCTTCCTTGACCTCCAATCCCGATCATGATCGCGGCTCAGGAGCATCGTTCAGCGATCGAGGGCGACCCGATCGACGTCCGAGTTCAGGTTGGTGTTGATGATGGTGTTCTTGTCATCGTGCTGACGGAGAGCAGGGGGGAGACCGAGAGACTTCAGTCCCAGAGGTCCCAGGAGAGAGTTTGACAGGGTTCCTCGTGAACGCAGCTTCCGCGATCGAGGTGCTGTATGCTACTGTGATGATCGCGCAGCCTGACCATGGACCTGTTTGCAGATGGAGAGTATTCCCGGTACAGGTGATGGTGAGTCATACTCAGATGAGAGACTGTGAATCGCTTGAAGATCTGTGCTTTTCCCGTATGTATGTTTAGACGTATGTGTCCACTGGAGCGGCTTTCTATTACATCTCGATTACTTGATTGGACGGCGAACTTTCACTGCATCATTGTTGTTTATACAACTGCATGTTGAATTAGTGAGATACCACCGTATGCGAACTGAAGCAAGGCTGAGAAATGGATTCAGTGACAGTGCTGGTACTAGACGAGCCACTGGCTGCTTCCAACAGTCCTTTCAGCTACTCTCCACTGTGCAGTGGCCTTCCTTCTTCCCAAAGCTCCCCTCCTTCCCGTCTTGTTTCCCTCCTCCCCTCATCTCTTCCGAAGGCTGCATGCTAGGTTCCCCCTCAACGGGCCATCGCCCAGATCGAGATTCGACGGGAAAGCCTGAGATCCTTGATGGACTCAGTCGACTTCATAGCCAGGGACCCGCAGGTACTCGATGAAGGTCGAAGAAGCGACGCATGGAGTACCATGTGCTGACCATGCACCTCTCGGAGTTCGCAAGCCCATGTTGACCACACCGCCCTTTCAGGTCGTGAAGGTGATGACTGAAACAACGAAAGCTCGGTCTCCCGCTAGGTACGACACCCTCTTAAGGCTGCCCCAAGAGTGTTTCCATCCGCTCCAATTTCGGGCTCCTTGTCCCTGGAGCCTGATCGGCGCTGCTCTACAGAACTGGTCGTCCAGAGGCCACCCCCCTTCCCGCTTTGTGGTTGTGGCTGAGAGGACAGAAGACTTCAGTCCTCGGATGGCTCTGGATTAGGATGCCGATCGACGTCCGAGTTCAGGTTGGTTTAGACGATGGTGGTGAGAGTCTAAGAATCGCTCTGAGATCTCTCCTGTTTTGAGCAATGGAATAGAGCTCGTTTTTATTTCATCACGTTTCTATTACATCTCGGTAACTTGACTGCGAACTTTCTCAACTTCGTTGTCTACACAATTCCAAAGACGTAATCGCTGGTTGCCAGGTCAAACTTTTCCTTTAGCTGAGAGAAGCTGAATGGTTTTAACGTGAGTTTCGATTCCAAATGTTGTACTCGAACCTCCTGTACTTTGGTAGATGCAATGTGAACGTGCATGTTGAAACTGTAGGTAACCTTGCATTGAAGTCACGAGGGTCACATTCGTTCACACTGAATACCTGTCTGGGCCTGCAACGTCTTGGACTAACTTGATTCGTCTCCCTAGTCTAGAAAATCCTCCGATAGGGAGACACGTAATCCCTGTAATCCACTGAAGAAGTTCCAACCTGCTTAAGAACCTCAATCGGTGTCAAGGTGAATCGATTTGACCTTCTCTGATTCGAAAGCGAACTCACGTACGTCCAAAACCATTGCACAATCTGTGACGTTTCTGCAATGCTTTCTCCATACTCGACGTGCTTCATCATCTGCACAGAGGATTTCTAATGCAGAAAGTAAAAACATGGTTACCGATTCTATCTGAACCTCATGAACTCCAAACATCAAAGATTGCAAGTCTCCGTGAGAAAAGCAATTCAAAAGGTGATCTGGAACTATATCGTGAAATGCTTGACAGAGGAAATCCATCCTATGTATGAGTGAGGGCATACTAGACTTTTAGTGACAAGTACTGTTGCTTAACATCGTCGAACAATCTCTTTTGAACCACAAGATTTCGATATTCTGCATATCCGCCTGGAGTCACTTGCAATTCGTCGCCTCCTGGTTTCAATGGTGACTCCTTGTATTCTCTCCTCTCTTTGACTGGGGTGATGAAATTGGAATCTCCATGTGACGAATAAAGAGCAATTGCATCTGACGAGAAATCTGACTGATTCGATGATGAAAGTGTTCAGATGTTTGGCTTTTCCATAGGGATCATCCATCGAGTTACCTGCGATCGACTGGGTACCGAAAATGTAATGCAGGATAGCACTTCTCTCATTTCCTGCTCCTCTAGCGAGGGGATCCTTATAGCTAAGCTCCTGTAAAGCTGTTCATCTACGTACATGAGGTCTTCCTAAAGAGTCAATCAGATAGCTCAACATTTGGCATTTCATACAATTGTGAGATGCTCTTGAGAGATGCTCCCAAGAAGTATAATCTTCCAAAATGAAGGTGTCATAGAGATTCCTAAGGGAATATTTTCTGCAAACGCAAGAGCGAGAACTTTCCCCATCATTTCATAAACTTGCTTTCTCTCCAGCATCCGCATTTTCGACGGATTGATCTGAAGCATACCTGTCTCTGAGTCGAGAGTATTGAAGCATGGAAGGACAAATCCATTGCCAGGTTCAAATAGCTCTGAAGCAATCAATCGAAGGCCCTCCCTTCTTAGGCCTCCGTAGTCTAAACCAGTTTCTTTGAATCCATAATTTGTAAATTCAAATTGATATCCAAGAGAAAGAAGCTTCTTTCCGTTGATTTGTCCAAGCTGCTTCAATGCACTTCCCAAGACATTGTTCCGATCAATTTTCATTCTGATTGAAGTGGTACAAGTGGAATCATAAGTGCTAACCTTTTCGTTTGAAATGAATCGTTTTCGGATGGACTGAGCTAAAGCATAGGCCTTGTCTGCAAGAGGAATAGACTTCCTGCATGTTTCCAACAACAAACTTGCTGCAAAATGTTTATCCTCATTCTGAGTCTTGATAAAATCGAGATTTTCGCCAAGCAGTTGCGCAGCAATCGCTGCAGTCCTTTTCGATTTTCCATTCATGGCTTTGGAAAATGCAGCCAAAGACCTCGGATGCAGGAATAAGAATGGTTTTATTCCTGCGATTTCGCAAGAAGCAAGAGATATGACGGCATGCAATCCATACTCCTTTCAGAAAATTGTCAGACAGATAATGAAATTCGGCGTCAAACACCTGCAAATTTGCATTATCTGACTCCAAATTCCCGAGAATGACTTCAACTTGCAGGTATCTTTGATTCTTTGACAAGACTTCCCACAGAATTTCAGTTGCAAGCTGTGACGAACATGAATGTACGAAACTTTGTCAGAATCCAATGCTAACCTGGACTATGGTTATTGAGTACTGAACAAATCTTTCTGATTCTGATCGCTTAGCCAAAACATCGCACAGGCAGTGGATGCCTCCTAATTCCCAGATACGTGGAATATTTGTAAGTTCATCATTGCAAATGCAAATAGCTAAAGCCCATGCGGCAGTTTCGCGTGAGCTTGTGCAATCAGATGACCGTATGATTTGTAAGAGCCCTTGAAATAAACCAGGTTGATCACCTAATAAAGACGAAATTAGAACTGAAAAGAATATTAAGTACAAACCAATCCGAAAAATATTGTGTTGATCATTAGCAGCAACGCTATAAAACATTAGAAATGTTTCAACAAGTTGAATGTAGAAGCACATACTTTGCAATAGCCAATGATCCACACTGCTTTCCTTCCTCGCAAGCGTTGGAGAGCATTGTAACCAAAGCTAAGTGCCAGCGGAGAATTCACTGACAATCATGTATTTTGACTTTATCGCACCGGGGATAGCGAATGGAAAGAGGCAGATGTTATGAGCATTTTCAATGTTGCATGCTAGGTTGTTGATGGCCAAACATGCAAATATCTTGGTTGTTTCATCTTTGGAATGAAGCACAAGCCTGACAAGCCCTGAAAATATCGTCCTCGTTCCAATCGTCGTAGTTCCTATGATCACTTGATTGATGGGGCAGTCACAGCAGAGATTTCCAAGGCACAAGGCAGCATTCTGAAATTCTATTTCATCAAATGCTGTTGGTTGTGTAGACTTACCTTGCTTTCCCATGGATTTCCGTCCAGCAAATCAATCAACCGGCGGATTATTTTGGCTCTGCCTCCGATCAAATTTCTCCTGTCGGCCAGTCATAAACACCCTTGACGTGACCAAGCAATGATATGCCACCATGAGGACAACATAGCCAGGTCCGCGATTGACCAACTTGCATTTGCGCAATGTGGAGGCTCAGAGTATAATGCATATTCTAACTCTTGCAGTGCTCGATTACATTCCAACCTAGACCAGTCGGAGGTATCTGAGTCTTGTATCTTAAGAAGGTATACAGCACTCTCTACTTCCTGAGAAGCACATACAGAGATATTCAGTTCGCCATAATCACATAAGCTTGCAACTTTCCTCATTTAATTGGTGCTCATTTGTCAGGAGATGTTCTAGATCTGGTTCTGAAAAGCCCTCGAGAAGCATCCCAACAATCTTTGCAGCAAGCTTTCCTTGCCTTTCCTGTATAATACTGTACTGTTCCAGGTGTCAGTAATACAACCATCATTTTCCAAAAACTTACCAGCCGATCACCGATGCGCTGTTTTGCTTCAGGGCGAGCAGCCCGCATGATTGGCATCTGTTTTTTTTAGCTCACGAACAAGCAAACAAATCCTTCAATACAAAGCATCTTCATCTCTTCTCTAAAACTATCAAGCTTCCACTTCACTTATCATCTGTTCGCCTATCCTCGTCTTCCTCATTCTGCATTCCGCCACAGCAAAAAGCGCGCCAACAAAGAAAGTTTGTGGTGTACATAACTAAATATTTCACTCAACAGTCTCCCTAGTTCTGGATTTCTGCTCAACGTTCCGTTACAGGGTTTTTGCTCGGAATTGAACAAATTTCGTGGGGACCAGAATTAATCTTGTATTTAAAATTCGAGTTTTTCTGGCAATGTTGAATAATTGATCCCAAATTGTTTCATATCAACCGTTCAAGCCTTTGAGCAGGGGTAGGTAGTAACTCAAGTAGGGGTAATCTTACTGAACCATCGAGGCAAGATATGCAAAAGTAGGGTAATCTCTGGTGAAGAAGAGGGGTGCTTTTGTTAAACAGTAGATAATGAGGGTAGGGTGATTAGAAGCAACCGGAGGTCTAAAGGGGTGGGAACTCAATGCCCTGTGTATGAGTCGCTGCAGGAGGAGGGAGAGACGGGCTGAAGTAGAGTTGAAAGCAAGAGAGACAGAGGAGAAGTGAATGCAAGAGGAAGAGGAAGAGGAAGAGGAAGAGGAGAGAGGAGGACTGTGGGTAGAAGAATAGGATACACACAGATACGAGATGCAGAGGTGCCGAAGAATTGCATAAGGAGAAAAAGCTGTGTATGGAATGATGATGAAGTTTCCTCTTGAAAACGACAGTCATATGAGATTATCAAAGGAGGTTTTCGAAGAACTCATAAACATTTGTGGATGTTGATCAAACATGCTGCAGGTTGTGAAAATGGCAAGCAACCATAATTTGGTTTTACGGGCATCGAGGTGTAAGGATTCCTGGTCATCGTTGTTATGGAGTTTCCTGCCCAAAGTTGAATGCTGCAAGCAAATGTATTAATTTCGAGATAAGCTAGGAAGATGCAGAAGCGCATCATCGAATGGGCCTCCAATGAGGCTGTTTACTTAATGTTCGGCCATTTCGTGTTGAACTTGTATCTGCTGTCGCGCTTTCTTGCAAGCTGTGTACCATCACGAACGACAATTGTCAACAAGAAGAGAGCAAGAGATGGAGCTCAGCCTGCGGATCCTGATGGGCAGAGGATGTCTCACCCTTTGCAGCAAGTAGAACAAGACTACAACCACCATCCAACATGTCCCATCTGCCTAGAGCTTTGCGAATGGGCGTGTGAGACCCATTGCGGACATGCCTTCTGCTCTCGTTGCTTCCTAAAGTCGTTTGTGTCTTCCTCTCTTCCTCTTCGTTGACAGGTGAGCAGGTGGTGGCAGCGACAAGGGCAGCAGAGGAAGAAAGTGACCTGCCCACTGGACCGCCGAGAGGTCTTTGCAGTGTTTCCTAGTCCTTCCCTCCGAGCCAGAGGACACAAACCGTCCGATCATCGTTACATGGACGAGAAGCTGAGACAGTACAATAGCATGATGCAGGATAGTTGGATACAAGAAAGTTGGAGATGGGGGGCCCGAGCTATCAGGTTGAAGTTTGCTGGCTGATTGTGTTGATGTTTTGAGGCGATTTTTGTCAGGGAGTGGTCGTCCCTACCGGCAGGATTCAAACTGATCATCGTAGTCCTCTGCATCATCGTTATTATTTACATCGCATCGCCTTGCGATATCTTACCAGAGGTGACATATATCGATCATCGTCATCAGCCTTTCTATCCTGCTTTCCTTACTTCGCAACCTCCCCTCCCGCACATCTCAGCACGCTCGTTCTGCCTGATCATGCTCTATTGCAGATGCTCTTTGGTCCCATCGGGCTGCTGGATGACCTATTTGTGATCCCCATCGTTGCTGCTTTCGGCGGCGCCATGTTCAGATACGCCGTGATGAATTTCAGGAGGAGCTGAGGGAGCAGCTTGTATATTGAAGTGTACCGATCTTCAGATCTTTTGCGGGCTCATAGAGAGGAAGGAAGCGGAGAATAGAGGAGGGGATCTTGCAGAAGAGGGGAGGTGCGAGGAGGGTAGTCGGGATCCAAGGAGGGGAGGAGAGAAGAGGATTGGACAGAAACATCGTACTACAAGTGAGGGGGATAATTTCCCCTCGAGGAATTTCAAGATAAATAGAAGGAAATCAAAGTTTGATCAAATCATAAATTACAGGACATAATCTCGTCGTTTACATTTGCTCTATTGTTGATGCTGTAGCGAAGGAGGTCGATCAGTGGGGCCGTGGGGCCTTAAGAACATGTCAGGGGCAATGTGGTTGCGGACGAAGCATGTACCAGGTCTGATGGCTTCAGGTATGTTTCCGTGTGTTTGCTGTGATCAGTTGATCATGACCAAGAGACGGTCGCAAGGAAGAAATGGAGAACGTGGAAGGAAAGGAGGTCAGGGAGAATGTGCGAAGAGAAACAGGAGGAGGAGGGGTTTGAGGGGTGGGGAGTACCTTGAGCAGGGCCATTGCGTTTTCTCGCGCAACGCAGTCCATGGAAGTCTCAACGAGGAAGTCCAGGTTGCTTCCTTTCCCTTCGTAGAAGGACGAGATCACGGAACCCTCCTGCTCCTCCTCCTCCTCTAGCTCTGGGTAGCACGTGTAGTCAATCCTCCTCTGCCTGTGGAAGGCGTCAGACAGTTTATACGCGCGATCATGACAGCACCGTCTGCCGTCGTACCCGAACTCATCAGCCTTATCAGCATGTCCGATCGTCGATACCCTCTGGTGTGACTTGCCATACTGCTCGATCGTCCTCCTGTGCGCTGCCTCCGCCTCCAACAAGTTGGTTGGAAGCACGATGAACATCTTGTCTGTATAGCTCGCACAGGATGAGTCCTCCATCTCCTCCGTCTCCATCCATCTCGAAGAAACTTCTAGTTCCTCCTCCCTCCTCGAGTTGCTCTTCTCCAACCAGGAGAGAACAGCAGCATGCTTCTCACTGCAAGCAAGAAAACAAAAAGAAAAGATCATCAGCTGCGGGTCCTCTTGAGCTCTTTGTCTTCATTTCACCCTTCATCATCTCTTCTCCCTCCCATCCCCCTCACCCTTTCCACTCATGTTTCAGTCTCTCCCTTCCGTTTACCTCGTGTAATTTTCGTACGGATCGGGGGAAACGCAGTTTTCTTCGTGCCACGAATGTGTTACAATGTTCTCTTTGTCGGACATCATAGTTGGCAAATTTTCAAGCTCCTTTGCATTATCTGCGGAATTCGACCATCAGAAAAATAGAGCAGAGATTGAAAATCGGACAAGCAATCCGAGTCTTGTCTTCACTTCCTCTCCCTATCTGTCAACTATCGATTCTCCTACACTTCCTGCTTCCCTTGCATTCTACCTCAATCCTTTGCATCTCAAAATGATTATCTCTCCCCTTTCATTCCACCAGGTTCAGTATGCAATCGTTGAGTGCCTTCTCACGACTGTTTAAACTTATCTCCATCGTATCTTAAACTTATATCGTATCATTTCATAAAAGATTGATGATTGTAAAAAGAGGTTATACGATCAAATAAACTCCTATGGAAAAGAAAGACAATCAAACCAACCCAATCACTCCTATAGTTGAATTCCCACAAAAGAAATCCACCTCATTTCTACCCCATTCTCTTGCTTAGTTTTTCTCTCATTTCTATTTTGTCATGCATAGCTTCAAGGTTCTTTCTTGTCGTTTAGTGTACTTTTTCCTTTCCCCCCTCTGCATCCCCCCCGATTCTATCATCTTGTCTTTCAATCATCAACTCCTCCATTGCATTTTTTAGGGTCACTTCTACCGATCTCGATTGCTATGTTGACCTCCTACACTAAGCTCTTGTTCACTTTCGAAACCTTAGCCAAGGGACATATTCTGCTTCATCGTTTTTACTTCATCCCTCCTCTTCTAACCTTGAAGACATTCCCTTTTCCTTTAATCTGCAAGGCAGCCCCTTTTCTTAGAATACAACTCATCGCTTCTTTCGATATCTGCCCTCGTGTTGTTCAGCTCGCAACGGTTTTTTCTACCTGTCCAATTCAAGATACACTTTCTGATCCCTTTGATCCTGATCTTCTTGTTTCAACCGTGTACTCTCGCTCCTTGCCTCCTTCGTCCATTCATCTACGTCTCTCAGATTGTTGTCAACTAACCGTCACGTTCTTGTCTCGTCATTCCTTGCATTCTACTTGTAACATCCCTCGTTTCAAGCTCACTTCGGAGCTGCATGAATGCATGTCCCTGTGAGTTTATATCTTTCTGTTCTTTCACAAGCTTTACCATCTCATCGTGTTCGCCCCCCTGAAATCATTTTGCACTTCGAACTCACTAGTCTCCAACAAAGATTCCTCCTTGTCCTTCACTCAAGTCCTCCTGGGCAAGGATGACCTCTAGTATCCTTCACGGGAATTTTTTCTTCCCTCCCTTTCTCCTTCCCTCTCTCTCCTCCCTCCTTCTCTCTCCTCTGATCGTCCTCTCCCAGCACTTCTGCTCGCTTCGTGGTCACCGCATGGGGGCCTCACATCTCTTATATAAATGCTCTCTATGTGGTTATTAATTTCAGTACCAGTTGAGATCTGGTACTATCTCTAGGAGAAATCTCATCTCAAAAAACTTGTATGTAGGGACGACAATTGCGTCAATACAATAATATTATCCAAATATGTTCAAATATAAATATAGAGAAACTTCCCGTACCTTGAATTCATGAAAGTTTGTGTTTTCGGAGAAAAATATTGATATTTATGATAGTGGGTATCATTCAAAATCATCTTTAATATAATAACAACAGTTTTGGTCAGCCTCCCCATGCTAAGACCCTTTACCACTTATGAAGTTGTAGCTCTTGCTATACCTTCCTACTACTATAACCTCATTTTATTCTTTTAAGTATTCCCATCTCTAGATAATCTCCTCGTTTACTTTTACTAAAGTTATTATCCCACTACTATTACTACCCCTGCGAGGATTGAAACCCTCCCTACATTGGACCCACCCCCTGACATTTTCCAGGTTTCATTGGGGTTATCCAGGGGTTCATTCATCCGTTTGATTTGGTTTCTGGGTAGGGTGCGGCGAAAACGACCGGGAGGAGGGTGGGTAGTCACTGTGATTCGAAACGTTGCGTTCTTTCTTCCCCTGGGGACTGCCATTTTATCGTGTCGGGAGGGTGGGTATGTTTGTCGGTAAAATGGGGGGTCTGTTTACAGGTTTGGTGACACACCAATCTCGGGTAGAGGTATTTTTGGCTTTCCCTGGGTAGGGGTAGTCCAATTCTCTCTGCACTACCCGTCATATTTCCTTGAATTGCCTGGGTATGGAACCAAAGGGGGGTGGAAACCTGGGTGGAAACACCTTGAAAGGTATACAGGGCACGGCCTCGCCTCTAAAACAAGCAGGAGTCAGACGGGTGCTTCAGTGTCCCGGGCCCGGCGGGCCCCGGTGCTGGCCCCGGTGAATGTTCATATGAGCGGGGATGAGGGATACGGTGTGGAGGTTGATGGTGATGTACGAGGATAAAGATGGTGGGAGAGGGAGGAGGAGAGGGAGGGAGAGAGAATAGATCAGGAGAGGAGAGAGAAGAGGAGAGGAGAAGGGAGGGGAGGAGAGAGGAGGGAGGATGAGGTGAGAGGTGACGACATAGCAAAGAAGTTATGTCTCAACCTGCGGGCGCTGTAGTTGCTAAAGCCGATGGGGCGGAGCTTGTCGTTGGTGAGGAGGAGAACTCTTGTAAAGAGAAGGAGATTAACCAACAGCCCTTGCCTGATAAGCGCGACGAGTCTTGGGAGGGTGACTGCGGAGAAGAGAGGAGGGATGGCTATGTTCTGGGTAGTGAGGACGAGGACGAGGACGAGGACGAGGACGAAGAGGATGAAGAGGATGAGGATGAAGATGTTCAGGACGACTATGACGACGAGGAGGATGGAGAGGAAACTCAATCGAATCGGATTAGGAAGGCAAGCAGATTGTACAAGGTATTGCTGCAGTACAGGAGCAGCGGCTGCGCTACATTTCTTCAGGGAACCTGGAGTACCGCGACTCGACTCTCTGCCTTGAGCATCGTTCTTAGCCTCCTGCTCTGTGTGGACAGATGGTATGACAGCAGCTGGAGACCAGTAGACCCCTCCCACGTGCACCCTGCGAGCAGGCCTCCAACAGGTTGTACCACCGGGAAGATTCTGCAAACGTTCAGCTCGCAAGGCGCCTTCACTGCAGAGCTGCAGCTGGAGAGGAGACACGTGGAAGCGTGCTTGTCGACTCCGCTGCGGTGGGAGGAGGTGGTGGGGAGCGGTGAATGCCCGCATGGTGGGGTCAGGGTGATGCTGGAGGAGGGGGGGACGTCGGTCATCTGTAAGAAGTCTACCTCCTCCCCGTCCAGCCCTCAGCATCGGCAGCCGCTACCGTTGCCTCCAAATGTCAGTCAGGACGAGATGTCGCAAGGAGGGAGTGCGGGGGACAAGGAGGGAGGGAGGGGCATGGGGCTGGTACTGCAGTTTAAGGCAGGAGAGGACGTGAGGGAGGGAGAAGTTGTTCAGATCCTTTCGACAGGGACTGCAGTGCGTTACCGGCTGTTTGAGAACGTCCTCTGGAAGCAGCAACAGAACTCTAGAGGATGCTTGATCCATAGCATGCAAGTCAGCAGGAGCTCAACTGCCGTGGCGTGCCGCGTAGGAAGGAGCTGGAGGGTAGCCCTGTGCCAGCTGGACTTGACGAATCGAGTCTTCTGTGGGAGGAGGAAGAAAATGACAGGGGTTCTGTCGATGGCGGGAGGACATGGACACTTGCTCGTGCTGCAGCTGGAGGGTCGGCAAGTGCGCGTGAAGTTCATGACAGCAGTGGAGGGGCTGCAGTCGTGGGAAGGGGCGGCAGACTCGACGATTGTTGACGATTTGGGCGACTTGAAGGGAGAGAGGATCAGGGGAGCTGACAATGGAGGATATAGTGGAGGAGGAGATATCGAGGCCCAGAGTGTTGTGCTGGACCGTTCAAGGTTCGCTCATGCGCTGTGCGTTGGTGGCTCCACAACGACGTGCCACGTGGGATTGTGCGCTGCCTACAATCAAAGTTCCCTCTCATGCCGGAGGCTCGGCAACCTAACGGGCTCATTTCATGCGATGAAGGTGTTGAGGCTGGAACGAGACATGATCGGCATTGCATGGATCCTGCCCTCTCGGAAGCAGGATGGATCAACAGGAGCAGGAGCAGGAGCAGGAGCAGGAGCAGGAGCAGGAGCAGGAGCAGGAGCAGGAGCAGGAGCAGGCGCAGGAGCAGGAGCAGGAGCAGGAGCAGGAGCAGGAGCAGGAGCAGGAGCAGGAGCAGGAGCAGGAGCAGGAGCAGGAGCAGGAGCAGGAGCAGGAGCAGGAGCAGGAGCAGGCTCTTGTCATGTTGCTCTGACTATAATCGGGGAGGAAGGAAACGATCTTCATCACCTCCAGATGCCCCACGATCTCTCGCGGAGAACGTCGAGGTTTCCAGCTCCTGCTCACCTGCTCTCCTGCTGCTCCTGCGGCGACGGAAATTGCCAGGCGTGCAAGATGGACGCTGTTGCCCTTTCACCGTACAAGGTCGTCATGTCCTGGGCCTCTGAGGCAGTGAAGGAGGAGGAGGAGGAGGAGGAGGAGGAGGGAGAAACAAGCGGTGGAGCGAATGTGGTGGTGGCTTCATCGAGGGATGGGTGGGAGACGGTCAAATGGTCAAAGGTGCTTGCAGTCACCTCCTCTACCTTGATGTCCGAGCTCGTCAAGACACAGCAGATAGTTGGAAGCCTCAGGTTCTCTTTCCTCAGGGTCTCCCTGTGCCGGGTGGAGCTGCCAGGTGTCGCAGCCCTGCTCGTAGAGCTCTCCTCCTCCTCCTCCTCCTCCTCCTCCTCCTCCTCCTCCTCCTCCTCATTGGGCAAGAAGTTCCTTGTGCAGGTCCCCATCAAACACGATGAGGAAGTGCACATAGACGGAGAAGCAAAGTTGCTCTGGCACGATGCTCCCTTCAACAGCATCACTTCATCTGCCATCCTCGATAGCCACTCGACACAGGTATTCACGCGATAGGAGCGCCGCACTTAAGTTGTTGGCAAGCCTTCCTTACCATCTCTGTCCGATCCTATAGTAACTATTGACCGCAGGAATGAGGGGGTCCACAGACTTTTCAGACGG